CCGATGTAACAGAAAGTGTTAAATCAGCTCCGAGTTCCGAGTGAGTTAATTCAAAAAGACGATAACGCATTTTTATAACAGAATTCATCAAAAGCGATAAGTAAATTAGTGCTTCGAAAACTACAGAAAAAAATACCAGTGCTTTAAATCATAGAAAAATGCAAAAAAAATTAATAGCATAAGTACAATTTACAATGTGTTCCGTATTTAAAATAATACGAAAACAATTGAAGATCCAAACATTTGCAAATAGAAGAAAACCTCTAAAATTAATCTTCAAATACGAGTATCTACCTACTTTTAGAAGTTTTGTAGTACTTAGAATAAAGTCATAATTATTACTTATTAAGTTATTAGTATTTTCATTTTTTGATATTAGAGCTTAAATAATCCAAGATATGCCTACGACAGCAAAAAGAGACAGACTTCCTAAACGAATAATAAAAACTAATTTTGTGTTTTGTCAGCCCCAGAGAAAAATGGTAAGGTAAGATACCAAGAACATGGAAAAATGTTAAAAAAATTCTGTCTATAAAAATTTTGAAATTATGTTTAAATTTTACAAGTTTTTTTGCTACAAGCTATTAGAAGAGAAAACAAGGAAACTCCATCCTAAATTGTAATTCTGTTTAATGTTATTTGTGGCTTTTATTGGCATTATTTTTACTTTTAGTAAATAATTATAAAAAAACATATACAATATCATCAGTGTCATATTTTTTTATAATTATACTTAAAAAAATTAAATACATATTTTGTTTGATAATAGTTGGACATGGAAAAACTATTTCACTCCAAATGTGTAAATAATAATCAAAAATTTAAAAATACAATGCGTTAGAAGTACCTATTGAACAAATACGCGAGCGCATCAGAACAAAATTATTACATATTTTCAAAAATAGGAAAAAGAAATATGTCAACACAATTAGAAAAAGATTTTTTTGATGATCTAATGGAGGTAGGATAACGTTCCACATAGACGGAATTTGGGTATTTGAATAGCCATATCGTCATTTTTGTGTCATATAAAATATATTTTATTGAAAAATTAAAGCGGCGTTTTTTTACAACACTCTATGTATCACTAGAAGTTACAATGGTAATGTTAGCTTGTTTAAAAACAAAGAAATGTTACTAGTCGCCAATAAGTTGATTTATTTTGCATTTTTTTCATTATTTAGTACTTAGAAAATCCTTTCATTAGTGACACGTTAAATAATATAGTTTAAATCCTTTTAGTTGAAGATTCAACATTTTTTCATGGCCAAGTGAGAACAAAAATCAAAGATAATTTTTTGTTAAAAATGTATTATAATAATTTGTTACAAATATATATTCTTTAGATAAGAAAAAAACAAGCTTTTTAAAAATGACAAATTTATTTTATTACTTCTACACAAACAAATGAAAAAATTTGTAAACTACATTATTAAATTCTACGTAAAAAAGTGCCTGAATAATATCTTTATTTCAAATACCAGGTGAATTAAAAGTATGGAACCAAACGTTTTTCGCTTAAACTATTTAATTTTTGGAAAAACTAATTGATGAATGATAAAGTACTATAAAAATGTGATGTTTTATTAAGAATAAAATTTTTCGAAATTTTCTTTTGTTTTTGAGTTCCACAAAAAAAAATTTTTTTTCAAATAGCAACCCACTATAAAACCATTTTTCTCATGAAAGTTATGATCTAAGGATTACAACTATCTACTTTATAGTTAATTTAAAAAATTTTTTTTTTACATAAATTACAATTTTGACAAAAAAATCGCATAATTTATAAACAAAATAAAATTTCGTACTCAAAATACTATCACATTTTTTATATTACTTTAATTTATATAAATTATTATTTTCTAGAAGCAAATGATTAAAAAAAAAAACCGCTTGGTTCCATACTTTATATTCACCCTGTATGTGTCTTCCATAATAAGGAAGATATGATTTTTTTAGATTTCGCTAAAATGGCAATTTTTGTCTATAAGTCGAAAACTAAAGAGGAGGTTTTAATCAATATTAATTTCTCAAAAAATGAGCTCCAGAATGTATTACTCGTTTTTGGCTAAACCTCTTAGTTTCGGACATTCCCTATTCGGACATCCAAAATGCAGCACCCTGTACAGTAAACTTAAAAAATAATGTCACTAACGAAAATCTACAGCTTTGTATTTTGTAAAAAACTTTTGAGAAACGGAAAAACTCTAAACAGAAAATGTAGTTCAAATTACAAAAGATTATTTTACAAATGTATAACATAATCGTAGCCTACTATCCCTACTGTCAAGTTGTTTATGTTTTTAAATAATGTGTATATGGAATCAAACTTGCATTTTTTTACTTGTCCCGCCAGCAGGTGCTGTCTGCTGCGTTGGCTGATAACAATATAACAGTGATAACTGTTCCAAATATAACCAAATTAACTTTCCAGTCTATTTTTATTTTGGCACACTTAAACCTCGTTTTAGTTTTTTTTGCTTTAGAAAAATAAACCTTACATTCTTTCGGTCAATTTCGCACAATACGAATCGGCATCCTCGTTCCGAGAAGCCGACCATCCGATTGTCAAAATCCCGTCACAGTGACATCCATTGTGCCATAATCCATCCGGGCCCTCGACCTTGAATCCGTCCCTGTCTCGCAGTTCGCCTAGTAACAAATCAGCCTTTATCTTGACTAATATGTTAATCGCAGAGACAGGGTGTCCATAGAGTTGAAAACTTGACCCCGAAAGAGAGTATCTCGAACAGACAGATCGCGGTGACCCCAGACGAGTAAAACAAACAACGCTATCACTGCTCACAGCCGCCTTGGTCCACAATGCATCACATAGTTTCAACATCGAAATTTTCGAACACCGAGCCGCTTTCGAAGCCACCCAGTATAGTAAATTTTAATTAATATTGGAGGTTCCCACGCTGGAAATGGCGACAAATTTCAATTAGTTATGACAGTGGATGTTAATTATTTTCGTGAGACGTCCGGTTTATGGCCACGAAGATACTTGACAGAAATTAAAATTCAGTAGCCGGCGGTTTAGTGTTTCTCATCAAAGCTTTTTTCGGTGTTTTAAATTCGAATAAATTTCCTATTCTACGACTGCTGGAGATGTAGAGTGACGCAACTGTCAAATTTCACGTTTCAACGCCATATGTCATGCATGATTTGCATTTTTTTTTTACTAATTGCACCGTTACCAAGCCTTTTAGGGCCAATACTAATTTGGATTAATTGACTTTTGCTTTTTCGTTTAGATAAAAATTAATTAGGAAAATTTGTGATTCACACAGGTGACATTTCTAAAAAGTAAATAAAAGTTGGCGCTAAAAACTCAACAATCTGTTTTTAAAAACTCGATTAAGCTATTACATAAAATATTTAAATTCGTGACCACAAATAATATGTTTTATCAAAAACAGTTTAAATTAAACTTATAAATATTTATTAGAACGCAGTGAGAATAGTAGTGAATTATAATGTTAAATTATAGCCTTATTGCATGTCTTATTTTATTCCAAGTGAAAACTTGTGTAAAACTACAAGAATTCGTATGGTGAAAACAGGCAAAACCAGTATCAATTGAAGATAAATAATAAAATTCGCCTTAAAGAGGATTATTTCACCTTCTTTGACCACAAAAGAAACACACAAAAGGCAGAATGTAAAATCTTGACAAATTTGCTTTCTAATGTTGTGTTCACAACAGACAATAGGCAAACCCTCCTATAGAGAGGACATGTTCACTCTCACCGGGGTTGGTTGTGAATCAAATTTGGCCTCAAATGTTTTCAAAAATAAAAAAATTATTGTAAACAAGAAAACAATAGTAACAACAATCAACAATAATAAGAAAATAAGTCATAGTGGAATATTTTATGATTAGGGATAAAAATAAAACCATAAAATAAAAAAAACTTAAAATTTCAAAAATCAAGATTAGGAGGATATAGGCTTGTATTTAAAATATTGTAATATGCAATAAAAATAGTTTATTCCATATTTTATAGACGTTTAAGCCAATTACGGTTAATTTTAAGTACTCATAAAAATAATTTATTGGTTAGTAAAAAATTAAAATTGTTTGATTTTATTAACAGTAAAATATTAATTTTGAACAAAACACTGGTTCATAGTGTTTTAGATCAAGTTTTTTTAAGTTGGACAAGCTGTTGTTCAATTTTTGAGCAGAGTGGCCTGTTGCTTTGAAATTAAGTTGAAAACATTGATCATTTTGATCAAAAATTCACTTTACCATTTGTGACATGATAAAAATTAAAGAAATAACAGTAAGGTTCCTGGTTGGATTCCGAAATATTTCACCATCGACCTTCAACTGTTTTTAAATCCATTGGTACCATCATCACAAACCCATAACTTTGGGTAATTAATCACGACCTTCTACCTGTTAATAATAGAGTCAAGTTTGCTACTTGAAAAAACTGATTTTATAAAAAAAAAAACAATTTTTGATTCGATACGTCCATGGCCTGCTTCCTCAAACCGCTCTTAAAAATCCCATCACATATGACATAAATATTAAAATCGAAGTTGGCTCATTTACGCTCCATAAATGGAATCATTCCTAATTTGTACAGATCAAGTTGTTTTTTGAGACAAATGTCAAAATAGTTTTTGTTCCATCATGGACGACTAGATTTAATGAGGTTGTAATTGTAGGTACGTCTTAACGAGAAACAATTTCATTTCATGAATGAAAAACTCACTCTCCGAGACCGGTTTAAACAAATATAGAATAAAAGGTAGTAAGAATGTCAAAAAAGTAAACATAAAACTGAAATAAGGATCAAGTATTTGTTGACACTGTGGCTTGCGTCGGCTGCGGTTGCGGTAACTCCGTTTAGAAGAGTGCTTAAAAATCAGATAAAAGTTGACAATTTTTAGTGTAGTTTCAATGTTTTTTAACTTTTACGGTACTCCCCGTCGGGCGGGCTTTAAATTTTCCACCCTGGGAAAGCTCAGAGCCTCCTATGACTTACCCAATGCATCCCGGGCGTGTGAGAAGCTCTTTCTTCAAACACTCCCATCTGCAGTGACGGCAGACCCGGTGACGTTTCGTACTTTTCTGAAGCTTCTTCCGTCACTGCGCCTTCAACAACCCCCACAGATCACAACCCTCAACTCACTATGGCCACTGTCACCATCAACCACCGGTTAAAAAAAAACAATGTCACATCACAAGATACGTCACTGGTAATTCAATTGTTTCCGCACACCCGTTACCGACTTAGTGCCGTAAACAAACACTTGTATAAAAAAATCGTTGCGCATGTCACTCGATTTACAACACTATTATTACAACGTCCAAGTGTGCGTGTGTAATAGCGTTACACACTTATTTTGAGCGTCCGCGCACTCAGACGGATCGCAGGCGGCTGGTTTCATGCGCATGTGAGAAGGCGAAGAGTATAGACCACGCCTATGGGATAAAGGTGGGGTTAGCGGGAGTGGAAGGGGTGGTGCTGTCCTATAAGAGAACGCTTCATATTTGTTTATGTTGGAGACAAATGCAAGGGGTGTCATTGTCATGGGGGTCTAAGGGTAAAGTATTTGGAGTGGTAATTATAGCGGAAGCAAGCTTGATGAGTTCATTTGTTTGCGGTTTCATGAATGAAGTTGTAGGGATTTTTACGACTGCTACTTTTATCGCGTTGGCGGTAATTAAAGGTTTTGTTTTGGTGAGATAGCAGTTGTCAGCGGTGGTTTACATATCACATTTTATAGAGAATGCACTTAATCATTTTGATATGCGATAAAACGAGTTTGTAAGACATCCAAATGAAAGATAAAGGTGTTACAGGTAGGTACACTTATAACATATAAAAAAAAATAAAAATTATATGAAAAGACATTATGATAAGTTACTCTAGAAGACAAAACTCTTCTTATAAGTTAAATAAAATGAATAAAAAATTAATTCTGAAAAATACATAGTTTATCTTTTTGAAGCAGACTGGGTGTCTCCAGTAAAATTTATCGTTATCTAAGCATAATAAAGACATGAAAACACTTAGAGTATGATAAGAAAGACATTAGAAGTAAATTGACTTGAAGTGAGCGTCTCTGTATATAGTTTTTTTTTCTGTATCTATAATACCAAGTAGAATATCTTTTTTTAACTAAGAAAATTAAACTTGACTATACCTTGGTGCTTTCCATCCTTAATTATAGTCTCATCATTTATTATTCATGTATAGATTATCAATCTAAATATACCTAAATTACAAAAAATACAAAATTCGTACTCTCGTTTTATTTACAAATTAAGAAAATTTGACCATGTATCTCAAAAAATAAAAGAACTTGGTTGGCTGCCGGTAGACCAAATACACAATTATTTCTTGTCAGTGTTTATACAGGGTGTTTCAGCTTAAATGACCCATTAGACCGCTCTTGGCAGATAACCTATAATACACAAAGCAATTATTCCTTGATTCATATTCGAATTTTGAAAGTTTCATGAATCGAAAAATATCGTTCTTTGATTCTCGATATTTTCAAAATTTAATTTTGAATCAAGGAGTAAGTGCATAATGTATTATGTGTTGTCTGCCAAGAGGTGTCAGGTGGGTCATTTAAGCTGAATCACCCTGTATATAAAATGTTTATTACTGCTTCACCACTTCACCAATATTTCATTCGAAAAAAAGTTGTCATCAAGTTTCTGTTCGTAATATTGCTGACCGGTCATTACCAAAGTTTAAAAAAGCAATATTTAAAAGATCTCTCTCTTACAATACAATAAAGTTATATAATTCTTCTCATTTCTTTAAAGAAAAACTTTCAGTGAACAATTTTCGTAAAAAGATCAAAATACATTTTTTGAACTTCTAGTTTTTTACTTTTGCTTTTTGTTATTTTCTTATTGTTTTATTTCCTGTTATTTCTACTTAAGTAGTTTTTCTTAATTTTAGTTGAACTGTAATGCAATTTTTCTTTTTTCTTTTTTTTTTGTTTTGTTTAGGGAGTATGAATAGCAGTTGCTAGACTTCACCTCCCGAGTTGTATATTTACTTGTATGTACAATTAAAGCTGCTTTACTATTATTATTATACCTAATGTTTTCAGTTATTAATGTGAGTTTTTTGTTTAAACAACAAAGCAATTTTGGAAAGAATTATTTGTGTTTATAGATAAATTACTACTTTTTAATTTCCAAAATTCTAAAAATATGTAATCAAAATCCCAAAAATTTTTGGCATTATTTACGTAGTTTGTCGACTTTAATGTACATGCAATTTGAACACTATTTATTTTTTCAATGTTTTTGAAAATTGCGTTATTTAATTACCTAAAATATTTTTTTTTGACTTTTGATATTCAGAAGTTTTGACCAATTGGTCCGCCGTTTCTGGGCCGTCTGCATATTTCAAAAAAACTAGTCAAAAAAGTACCACTTTTTAAGGCGTCAGCGCGTCCTTTGTTTCTCCAGACACCCGTCGGGGGGCGTTTGAATAGTCAATAGGCGACCGTAGCGCTTGATTGACATGAATGGGTTGTAAAAGAATGTCGAATACCAGTAGTCGCCGTCTTGAAAATTCACCTCATCACCAACGCAACCGTTTCCTTTGCAGCAGTGTGTGTGCATCAGAGAAGAAAAAAAGAGCAGAAAACAAAGAGGTGAAACGCATAAAACGAACGAGCAAAATCGCTTAGATATATAAAGTCACTATGAAACAACACCTGATTTATTGCCACTTGTAACGCAGTGATATACGAGTTTGTTTAAACTGGCTATTAAAGTGGCGTTCACACCGCTCTGGGCAGGCGCTCAAGGATGAATTTTGAACGAGATGGGCGGTCAGGTTCATTTCATTTTATTATTATTTCGACGGTGGATGAAGAATTGAGATGGAATTTTAAATAATAATGATAGAAAGTCAATAATCAATAAGGCTTTTCGTCTCACACGCAGCTAATTACAAAAGTTTTTTCTCTCAGTGCTCAAGATCAAAGCAGTCTAAATATAATCTACATTCCTCTTTTAATTTTCATGAATGGAAAGCATATTTCATTAATATGACGTGGTTTGGCTGCAAAAATAAGATACTTTTTGATTTAGGTACTTTACCTCATCCACTAGTGTCAACAGATCATTTTTTAGTATTCTTAGACACCAAAATTTTTAATTAAACCACGAAATTTCAGACAAAACGTAAAAAAACACAACTCAAATTATAATATACAGGTTGTTCTGCTTAACAACAGTTAAATAAAATTATTTATGATTTTAAATGGGTATTAGTATAAAGCGGTCAGTAGGTAAATAATTCAATTTTGATCAGTATAAAATGATAAATGATCAGTTTTTAATTAATTTTTGCATAGTAAAAAATAGTAAAACAACATAAAATTTAAAGAATATTCAGTCGTGATTACATAATAATGTATGGCTTCTGCGCAAGAATGTTATTTATTTTTGTTAGGTACGTATTTTTAAATTACTAAATATTTATTATTATTGGAGGGTGATATATGTATTAGCTAGGGCCCCTGCGCAAGCATGATTTTAGCAAGGGCCGTAAACTGTGCTCAAATGGTAATCACTTAATCAGTCTAATCAGCGTACGCCACTTTTTGCACTGCTGTGCTCCTGATACTACAATTTCTTTGCAATATTTCGATATTGCTCGGAAACATTTTGTTTGTAAATGTGTGAATATTAAATTAATTAGTTTTGCTTGATATTGATTTATTTTCTTTACTGTGCATTTATTATTTTTACTGTGCATTTATTATTTTTACTGTGCATTTATTATTTTACAGTGCATTTATTGTTTTTACTGATCAAAAATACTTGTTGTTTAAGTAATATATTGTGCATTTAATTTGTTCCGATTTTAAATGAGCAATTTCTTGCCCTCTCTATACAAGGTGTTTTAGAACTCGCGTCCCAGAGAAAAATGCCAAGATAAGATACCAGAAACATGGAAAAAAATGTTCAAAGATTTTCTGTTAAAAAATTTTGAGATTTGGAATTTTTTTATATTTATTTAATGTTACCAATGATCTTGTATGTATATGTTTTTTCATAATTATTCAGTAAAGATACAAAAACTTTGTCAATAAAAGCTACGAATAACGTGAAATATAGTTACAATTTAGGGTAGGTACAGCTTCTATGTTTCTTCTTCTAATAGCTTGCAGCAAAAAAACGTAAAATTATTTTTGTAACAGAAAACAAAAAACAAAAACAAAATAACAAAATTTATAGTTTCGAAATTTTTATTGATCAAATTTTTTTAACATTTTTTCCATGTTTTTGGTATCTTATCTGATTTGGCATTTTTCTCTGAGACGCGAGTTATAAAACAGCCCATTATAATTATTAATTAATGATGAAGAATTAATTTTTCTTACTCATTTATTTCTTTTAAGAACTTTTATTTTTCTTAATACACAAACAAAATTGTTAATCAAACTAAGAGATAGTAGACGAGCCAAATATATACCTACAGGTTGTTTTGTTAAATAACACTTAAATATAATTATTATAACATGTTCAAAAACAATTATGTAGGCAAATATAACAATTCTGCATTTTAAATGAGCACTTTCTTGCACTCCCTGTACTCCTAAAATTATTGAAGAAAACTCCTATTAGGTATAATAAAATTCGCTTGTGTCATTGACGAAATATTCAGGGTAAACAAAAAATATGTAAAACGAAGCATTTCTGGTTAAACTAAATAGTTATAAATACCTTCAGAAAGAAGTAGGTAATTAGTAAAAAATAAATCGTGTTTTTGAGTAATACAATTTTTTTCTTTATGTCTTTTATTCACCTTATCCATTATAAAAAACAAAAATCTTTTATATGTACACTGGCGGATACAGAATTTTGGACTGACATAAAAATGTAAAACGGACCTTAATCAACTAGCCTCACTTTCGGTTTTTGTAAGTTTTATCCTGATAGCTAGAGAAAAAATGACAACAAATCAGAATAATTTATTTAGTAACACGTACTGCTGGCATTATTGTTTCGGAAAATCGACGCCAAAAATAAATTTCAACTAAAACTTTTAAACGTCAATTACAATGACAATAAAGCGTGGCTTACATTGACATTTTTTGAACTGACATAAACTTGATGTCCAAAATTCCGTGTCCGCCACTGTAGTAAAAAATAATAATAGAGACTCAAAATTTTTATTCAAACTAAGAAATATCATACACCATAAACTACATATACAGGGAGATCTTGCACTTCTGTATAATGAATGAGGAAACAAATAGAGAAAACTTCGCTCGTGGCTTTTATGTCATCGACAACATCCATCATGTCCTTTCCTTGTCTGGAAAGCAAACAGCAAACAAATCGGATCGCTGTTAAAAGGAGAATTTATCAGTATTTGCCATT